GATGGTCCCGTGGTTAGGCCACTAGCCTGGTACCTGGGAGTCTTGGTGTTCAACTCCCTGCTCTGCCATAGATTGGCTATTTGGCCTTAGGCAAGTGAGTTAGACTCTCTGTTCAGTTCCCATCTCTACAATGGGGATAATAGCACTGCCCTACCTCACGGGAGTACTGTGAAGATAAGTTACTACAGTAATAGGGCCACACAAGTACCTAAGATAGACAGTATAGATGTCTCTACCTCTGGTAGAGCTCATCCTCATGTCTAGATGCTGCTAAACCATCCTTACTAGGTATTGCATTTATTTCTGGCTCACAAAGCTTTTCTTCTGAAAAGTACACTTTTTTGCTTTTGAAATGCACCAGATTGTACTAAATAGCAGTATCTCCCTGTCACAGGGTCCACTCACCACTGGTAGCACCTTCTGCTGGTCATCCTAGAGATTAGCTCTAGCCAGGCATTGTGCCCTCCTCCGGTGGTGTCTCTCTCACCGTCCTCTCCTCCTGTGGCCCCTCTCGCTCCAGAAACAGCAGCCTCCTTCTCATGACTCAGCCCTCTGTCTAGGTCATTATCTGTGTTTCCCCCCTTCCAGGGTCCCAAAGTCTTCCTTTGTCTGTTGACAGCTTCCTGGCTTTATAGGCCCTGTCTGTTCCTGCCCAACTGAACCTGTTTTCAATTCCCTGCTCCTTGGCTCACCTTCCAGATGCAGCCTGTGGAGTTAGTTGTCCTGCCTGGCCTTCTTAACCCTTTCCAGTCTTGTGTGGGGTAGACATCCCATCACACTCCCCTTACACCCCCAAAATAAATAATTAAATCCTGCAGAAAGAGATCCCTACAGGGCTGTCTTTCTCTTGTAACCACAGTGTTGCAAATTATTCCATTCTAATAACAGATGTTTGAACCCTTTTGTCAATCTTTTTTTTAAAAACATATAGGTTCCTAAGTCCACACAGAGGTAACTAAATACATGGCCTGATCTAGCAGCTCCCAGTGTAGCCAATGGGATTTTCAAAAGTGCTGGGTACTCAGTGTTTTGTAAATTAGGACACTTAGTTAGCACCATAGTCCCTTGTTCTGTATAATTAGGGCCCTACCAAATTCACGGCCATGAAAAATGCATCACAGCCCATGAAATCTGGTCTTTTGTGTACCCTATATTATACAGATTTCACAGGGAAGATCAGCGTTTCTCAAACTGGGGGTCCCGACCTAAGTGGGGTTGTGGGCGGGTTGCAAGGTTACTGTAGGAGGGTTGTGGTATTGCCACCCTTACTTCTGCGCTGCCTTCAGAGCTGGGTGGCCAGAGAGCAGCAGCTGCTGTCCAGGCACCCAGCTCTGAAGGCAGTGCCCCGCCAGCAGCAATGAAGAAGTAAGGGTGGCAATGCCATGCCATGCCATCCTTACTTCTGCACTGCTGCTGGCAGTTGCACTGCCTTCAGAGCTGGGCTCCCGGCCAGCAGCCACCGCTCTTGGCCACCCAGCTCTGAAGGCATCGCTGCCAGCAGCAGCAGCGCAGAAGTAGGAGTGACAGTACCGTGACTCCTCTACAATAACCTTGCAATCCCCCCCAAAACCCCCTTTTGGATCAGGACCCCTGCAGTTACAACACCATGAAATTTCAGATTTAAATATCTGAAATAATGAAATTTACAATTTTTAAAATCCTATGACTGTGAAATTGACCAAAATAGACCATGAATTTGGTAGGGCCCTATGTATAATATAGCATGCAGGCATACTACTGAGAATGCACAAAACTCCATTGAAGTCAATGACTGGGATTTTCAAAGCTAGCTAAAGATTTTGGGCACCCAAATCCCATTGAAATGCAATGGGAATTGGGTGCCTAACTCCCTTCAAGCTCCATTGAAAAACCTAAACATAATGGTTCTGCATTGGCACAGCCTTCCACCTGTGCTCTGCATGATCTGGAATCAGGGCCTATATAGGGACCTAAGGACCAGATCCTCAACGATATTTAGCTGCCTAACGACGTAGACACCTACATACGTTTGAGGATCGGGACCTAGAAGCCTAATTTTAGACATCCATTTTTGAAGAGCTTAGTCTTAGTATTTCATTGAGTCACTTTCTAATTCACAAACTATTTAGAAATGTATTTGAAAACTTGCCTTTGTGTATGTGCATTCATATAAGGGAGGCTGGGTGATGGTTATAGGTTCAAAATGATCTGAATCACCAGATAAAACTTGCTGAATTTTTGTCAGTAGAGTGTTTTTTGTTTTGTTTTGTTTTTTACAAGTATAGAAAACATGGGGCTGGTGAATAATGTCACCAGAAACTCCAATTACAAGGTTGGCATGAATTCCACTTAATGACATGCTCCTTAAAGCAGTGGTCGATTTTTAAATCCCTTTTTTTCATAAGCGAAATATAAAATGTTAATAATACCTTACCCTGTAGTGCTCTCTGGTAGCATACATCTTCTGGGTTCCGCAAGATTCTTTATGGAATCCTGCTAGCAAGCTCTTGTATCATAAATAGAATTTGTTCATGAAATAAAAATGTATTGTTTTCATTGTTAGGAGATGACGCTAAATTGGCTGTATGTTTGTCTAATAATCACATCCAAAAGCTGATTATTCTGATAATAGCCTTAAGATATTATTTAAAAATAAATAAATGCATTACTTTTGTACTAATAATAGTTTTTAATCTCTTCTTGTTTCTCTGAAGTCAATGAAATTTTCAAAATTGAATAATAATTTGATCCGTTAATCTTTTGAAGCTAGTAATTTTATTTCCCCCTCTTTGCAGTCTCTGAGGCTCGCAAATGAATAGAGCTTCATTACTGGAGTCTGCATTTAATAACCATTATCCATTATCTTGTAATTAAGACTCCCTGTAACGAATCATGAGGACAATGCAAAAATACATAGTACATTTCTTTAATGAACTGGAAAATGTTCATCTTGTTCTATTTAGTAATGAGTTGCTGAATAGTCGTTAAATCCACTGGAGAATGGAGCTAGATGGATTTTGAAGACTATCTTGAGTTTGTGGTTAATCTATTAGAATTAAAATTTCATCTTCTATTTTTATCAACAGCTGATTAGAAGTCATTCTGTTTGACCAAATTGATTAGAAGACCATATACAAGGGCAGCTGTTGCTTAATGAAAGTTTTTAATGAAACTGTACCATAGAGACTTGTAATTATAAGACTTATAAAAGCTTTGACTTACCTTGTACTGTGGCGGGGAGAGGAAGTATTGTAATGAAGGACTTAAATTCTGCACTTAAAAGAAAAACTGGAAAAAAACTATAATTTGATAGTGTTAAAGTTTCATTTCCATTTAAAAAAAGATGTGACCATTAAGTGTATACAGTGGGCTCAATCCTGCTCCCTTTTAAATCAGAAGAAAAACTCTGATTTCAATGGGAGTGGCCCCAAAGTATATAACTTGTTTAGTGTTTGGGTGACCTTAACTCTTTGTTTGCAGTGTTGTTGTAGCGATGTTGTTCCCAGGATACTAGAGAGACAAGAAGGATTAGGTAAGCTCTTTTATTGGACCAACTTCTGTTGTTGGAAAAAACAAACAGAAGTTGGTCCAATGAAAGAGATTACCTTTTCCACCTTAATTTTTTGCAAAGTTCAGTCAATTGTTAATTGCCCTTTACTTTAAATTGCATGCCTGTGGTGTTAAGAAGAGTTTCTATGTTGCCCTATCTGGTAAAAATGTGATCTTCATCATATGACACAACAATTGGTCTGTTCAGTACTTGAATGGGAAACTTACAGGGAAACCCATGGTGTTGTGGGATGTGGTGTGCAGGGGCGGCTCTATGTACTTTGCCGACCCAAGCACGGCAGTCAGGCGGCTTTCGGTGGCATGCCTGCGGGAGGTCCGCTGGTAACGCGGATTCGGCAGTATGCCTGTGGGAGGTCCGCCGGTCCCGCGACTTCGGCGTACCCGCTGCCGAATTGCCGCCGAAGCCGCGGGACCGGCGGACCTCCCGCAGGCATGCTGCCGAAGGCTCCCCGACTGCCGCCCACCCCCCCCCCTCAGGGACCGGCAGGCCGCCCCCCGCGGCTTGCCGCCCCAGGCACGCGCTTGGTGCGCTGGTGCCTGGAACCGCCCCTGGTGGTGTGATTCAAGAGATGGCCTCATTTGCTTTGCTCTCGTAGTGAAACTGCTCCAGATTACTGCTAGAAGGCATTGTGCTGCTGAAGATGCCACCGTTCAGATGAGATATAAAACAAACCCTGAGCTAAATTTGATGTCGAGGTGTAAGCAGATGTAATTTGATTTAAATGGGAGAGGCAGTCTTACCCTATGGTTGAATTGGTCTCCCGGACTACTTTTGCTAGTTAAAGAGCCCGCAGTTCCCAGGGCTCCAGCCTGCTGCATTGAAGTCAATGGGAGTGATGTCATTGAACTGTATGGGAGCAGCATCAGACACCTGGCTATGCTCACACCCCTCCCCCTCCAAAAAAAAAAGTAGTATTTTGCAAACTGAGTACTGTGTTACAGGATTCACTTTAGACAACACTGAAATGCAGCCAGGTACAACCAACACTTCACAAGAGCTCAGGCCACAAAGTGAAGAATAACATTGTATTCAAATGAAAATGCAGAGTGAAATAAGCCAGGAACCAAGGCTAACTGTCCGCTTCTTTGGAATGTTTCTTTAATGCCTACATATATTACTGACCATGCATTTAAATGTTGTATATCAGAACATTAGCTGATTGGCACGTGAGTGAGGACAGATTGTGTTCTGATGGTTAGAGACAAGAACTAATCGTAGAAATGCCTAGGTTCTATCCCCTGGTTGTTCTTCTGAATTGCTCTGAATCTTTGAACAGGACTCTTAACCTCACAGTGGTTGAGGTTCCCTAGCTGTAAAATAGGGATAATTCCTACATTACAGGGATGATGTATGGCTTAATAATGATTGTAAAACATGAAAGGAGCTATATATACGTGCAAAGAATTACTGTTATTATAAAACTACCATGGAGTTTTCTGTTTCTTTTAAGGTTCTGATTTTATTAAGACCTCTACAGGAAAAGAAGCAGTTAATGCCACCCTTCCAGTAGGCATAGTCATGGTGCGAGCTGTTAGAGATTTCTACTGGAAAACTGGCAACAAGGTATTCTTACTATCGGAATCTTTTGTGTAAATAAAAACAGTGTCATTGAGAAGTTGAGGTAAAACCTGAATATTTTCAAAATACAGAACATATGGTTGATTGATTAACATATATCTTAGCTTTCATATAGGTCAAGCTGCAACTCAACTTTCCTTATAGCTGCCTCTTTCTAATTGCTTATAAAAATGTTCCTCTTTGGCTGAAACTTCCTATGTTAAGTCTCAGTTAAAGAGGAATTTTTTCCCCCTGGGAAAATTTGTGCAGCATCCATTCAGTCCCCATTGCATAGATATAGTGTTTTGGTTTACTAGTTAGGCTGTTTAAATGTGAATTTTAATGAACAGTGGGGCAGATCCTCAGCTGACGGAAATTGGCCTAGATCCATTGAAGTTTATGGAGCAACACAGATTTACATCAGTTGAGAATTGACCCAATACATGCAATACTTGTAAGTAAAATGTTGTATCTTCTGACTTGATTAATTTATAGTCTCACCCCAAGTACAAATTCTACTGCTTTCTTCTTGGCCATGTAGGGCAGGGGTGGGCAAACTACGGCCCGGGGGCCACATCTGGCCCTTCAGACATTTTAATCCAGCCCTTGAGCTCACACCGCCGAGCAGGGTCCAGGGCTTGCCCTGCTCCGGTGCTTCAGACGGGGGCTTGCCCCTCTCTGTGCGTGCCATGGCTCCGTGGGACTCCCGGAAGCAGCAGCATGTCCCCCATCCAGCTCCTATGCGTAGGGGCAGCCAGGGGGCTCTGCACTCTGCTTCTGCCCCAAGTGCCACCCCACAGCTCCCATTGGCTGGGAACCACGGCCAATGGGAGCTGCAGGGGCAGTGCCTGTGGATGGGGCAGTGCACTGAGACACCTGGCTGCGCCTTCGTGTACAAGCCAGAGCGGGGGACATGCCACTGCTTCCGGGAGCTGCTTGAGGTAAACGCCACCTGGAGCCTGCACCCCTAACTCCCTCCCGTGCCCTAACCCCCTGCCCCTGATCCCCCTCCCGCCCTCCTGCACCCTCAACCCCTCATCCCCAGCCCCACCCCAGAACCCGCACCCCCAGCCAGAGCCCTCACCCCCTCCCACACCCCAATTTCGTGAGCATTGATGGCCCGTCATACAATTTCCATACCCAGATGTGGCCATAGGGCCAAAAAGTTTGCCCACCCTGATGTAGGATTTCCCACCAGCCATGAAAGACAGTGTGTAAGTTCTGCAGCAGAACTAGTATGTGTGGGGAACAGGCTTCTGAGAACAGGATGTTTACTACTACTGTCCTTCCATATCACTTGGAGGGGAGACTTGGTGCAGATCCAGTTTTCCATTCATCTGTTCCTGTACTTGCAACTGTAATGGAAGGGGAAGGTGACCAAAGGAAGCTCTAAGCCATCTTTCCCTTTCCTGAGTTCTGGGGCAGTTGGGGGCCTGTGCAAATCCCAGGTTAAGTTGGAACAACCTCAGAACTGCTCTTACTTATGCTTCGTCTCCTCCCATGGTCCCCAGAAAGCAGACAGTAGCTATAGTACAGTACTCCCATGACATCTCCTCTCCATCTCTGGCTTGCCCCTCCCCCTCTCCCTCTGCCCTTATGTCAGCTGGGAAGCCCCCTGGCACAGGCAGTAGTCTCAAGAGGCCATTTCCACTCACTTTAACGCCCATTTAGGCTGCCAGAATAGCCTCCGTGGGCATTAGTGTAACAGAGAATCTGGTCCAATTATCCACAACCCTGGCCTTGGCTAGACTAGGATTTTAACTCCATTGACTATTTCCCTGCAGAGGGGTGTGTGTGTGTGTGTGTGTGTGTGTGTGTGTGTGTGTGTGTATAAAACGGCTATGGGGGCTCCTGCAGCCATGTGGCTAGAGTAACACCACCTTCTCTGTAATCTGTGAGGGAGGGGATTCCTCCCACCTTCAGCCCCTGTGGTTGTCCTCAGTACAGATCCCAGTTCCATGAGCTGTGTGCATGAGCTGTGTGCCAGAAGTCAGGATTTGCCCTTTCACACTGCATTACTATAAGATTTTTACATTTAATTAATATAATTGTTTAATTTATCTTTCATTTTAACACAATTCATTCACAGTTTAAAATGTGCTATTAAGAGACTCTGTGTGTGTGTGTGTGTGTGTGTGTGTGTGTGTGTGTGTGTGTGTGT